AACAGTGATAGCCCATTCATATGTCCAGAAAGACCGATGTTTGTGTTTTGCTACTTGTGCTATATCTCGGGGTAAGTGGGAGTGAATGTTGTTTTAAGTCCCAGTCAGTAGCTATATCACGACAGCGTGTTTAATAAATAAGTCTTGGCCAGACAAACCAGCGAATGAAAGCATAAGCAACATTTGACGCCATCGGGGCACGAATACAGCCCATTGCTGGGAACAGAACCATTACTGGACTCTCCACTGGCGTGAGCGAAGGAATGCCAAATAATGAGGTCTTGAGGTTGAATCCTGGCAAGTAAAGGGACGCAATCCCGTAAAACGAATTGCAATCCTTTAGACAAGTTCAGCCAACTATGCTGACATTCTGCTTCCGTGAATACAAACAACACAATCTGCAGAAAGGTTTGGTAATTTATTTAGATCATTTCTGGATTTAGATCCACATTGATTTATCTCCCTTGCGCGAAACGATAAACACTAACCATTGCTTAAATATATTAATACTTTTATAAACGGTACAAATGAAGACGTAAAAATAGCTATTTCGTAGCATTTTGCTGACAGCATTGCGACGGTACCCGCAATACAACAAAACTGATATTTGGCTGAGCACACTGTACTTTCATGTACTAATAAATTAATATCTGTCTAAGCATGCTAGGAGTGACAAAATCTTTTTTGAAAACTGTCGTTATATAGGGAGAATTATACAATCACTGTTAAAAATTGTCGTGATATAGGGAGAGTTTACAACCACTGCTAAAAACTGTCGTGATATGGGGAGAGTTATAAAATCACTGTTAAAAATGTTGTGATATAGGGAGAGTTATACAACCACTGTTAAAAACTGTCGTGATAAAGGGAGAGTTATACAATCACTGTTAAAAACTGTCGTGATACAGGGAGAGTTATACAACTTCTGTAAAAACTGTCGTGATAAAGGGAGAGTTATACAACCACTTTTAAAAACTGTCGTGATATAGGGAGAGTTATACAACCACTGTTAAAAAACTGTCGTGATATAGGGAGAGTTATACAACCACTGTTAAAAAACTGTCGTGATATAGGGAAAATTATACAACCACTGTTAAAAAACTGTCGTGATATAGGGAGAGTTATAAAATCCCTGTTAAAAATGTTGTAATATAGGGAGAGTTATGCAACCACTGTTAAAAACTGTCGTGATATAGGGAGAGTTATACAAACACTGTTAAAAACTGTCGTGATATAGGGAGAGTTATACAACCACTGTTAAAAACTGTCGTGATATAGGGAGAGTTACACAATCACTGTTAAAAACTGTCGTGATATGGGGAGAGTTATAAAATCACTGTTAAAAATGTTGTGATACAGGGAGAGTTATACAACCACTGTTAAAAACTGTCGTGATATAGGCAGAGTTATACAATCACTGTTAAAAACTGTCGTGATACAGGGAGAGTTATACAACTTCTGTAAAAACTGTCGTGATAAAGGGAGAGTTAAACAACCGCTTTTAAAAACTGTCGTGATATAGGGAGAGTTATACAACCACTGTTAAAAAACTGTCGTGATATAGGGAGAGTTATACAACCACTGTTAAAAAAACTGTCGTGATAAAGGGAGAGTTATACAACCACTGTTAAAAAACTGTCGTTATATAGGGAGAGTTATACAATCACTGTTAAAAACTGTCGTGATATAGGGAGAGTTATATAATCACTGTTAAAAAACTGTCGTGATATAGGGAGAGTTATGCAACCACTGTTAAAAACTGTCGTGATATAGGGAGAGTTATACAACCACTGTTAAAAACTGTCGTGATATAGGGAGAGTTATATAATCACTGTTAAAAAACTGTCGTGATATAGGGAGAGTTATGCAACCACTGTTAAAAACTGTCGTGATATAGGGAGTGGTATACAACCAATGTTAAAAAACTGTCGTGATAAAGGGAGAGTTATACAATCACTGTTAAAAACTATCGTGATATAGGGAGAGAAAAAACTGTCGTGTCGTCGTGACATTTCAAGAGAGCAACGGCCATGATTAAGATAGTCACTCGCTGTCAAGATAAAAGTGGGTTAAAGTAGATATTGGCTGACACAAGTTCACATGGTACAATTAAACAGACTACTATACTGTTCAAAGTGTGCTAAGGATAAAGGTTTAATGATATAAAAGATCGAACAAATAAAGATTGAAATATTCAGGTACACAATGATATGGTAACCCCTATAGGAACTTCATTTCATGATGGAGGGACGGAGGCATTCTGTGATTGAGTACAATGTACTCGAGGTGCTTAAGAGCCTGTGATTGGGTGTATCGTGACAGAATCGTTGGAGGTCATTCTTGTAGCGAATTTTCGTAATTTTGGAGCGAGCTGCAGATCGGCCTCTCACGATGTCCTGTCCTTCCGGGAACTTTACAGAAACTCGGCAATGTTCTTTCTGAAGATCGGGTAGACCACCTAGACGTTGCCAGGCTGTGATCGAATCACGTAATTCACTGAGAGTTGTTCTTTTTTGGAACACTGAATAATATATTGATTTTGAGGGGTTTTTTTACATTTAAGTTCTGGTCAGATACTGTCATTTTGACAGGTGATCTGACTGACTGTCGGTCACATGTTTGGTGGCATGGTGTGGCACATGACAACGGACATGTTCATTGGACATGTCTTCACGCAATATTGTCTTTGGCCATTTCAAAAGATGCACACAATTTAACGTATTACCTTTAAAGTGGTCCTTAGCAAACTTTGAGTAGCTTAGAAGAGTTATGGTAAATGCAAACGGCAGCTTCAATTGAATGTAAAAGTGTTGAAATAATCCCTGTCACATGCTTACCGAGACCCTCTTTGCCTCTCTTTGGTGCTATGAGAGGAGTAGATTCTGCCATCCAAACTCCCCTCTCGTTGTACGTGTGACGATCCAATTACAGATGAGGACGAGTCAACATATATTTCACAGGTAACATATGAAAAGAAACAAAATATTGTAATCTCATACCTGTAACCTCTTGCAAGGTCACTGCCATATACAACTATAAACGTTTATGCGCATGCGTAGATTATATAAAAATGTGCGAAGCTTTGTCAAGACATTTTCCTACTTTCCTCGTAGTTCTATCTGTGGGATAAGGGGCGGTCGGGTAGCCTAGTGGTTAAAGCGTTCGCTCGTCACGCCGAAGACCCGGGTTTGAATCCCGACGTGGGTACAATGTGTGAAGCCCATTTCTGGTGTCCCCCGCCGTGATATTGCTGGAATATTGCTAAAAGCGGCATTAAACCAAACTCACTCACTCTGTGGGATAACTTACTGTGGTCATTCGCGTTATCATGACAAGCATGCGGTAAAAGCTGATGATATCTGTGATAAACAATTGACAACAATGTGTAGCCGTCGACGTTTCAGCTACAGCAGTGTGGGTGGTGTGGAGCATATGTGGTGGTGGTAGTAGTAGTTGCAGTAGTAGCATTGGTTGTGGTGGTAATATTAGTGGAATTAGTGTAGGTGGTACCAGTAGTTTGAGGTAGGTAGTATTAGCAGTTACTAACATTTTGGATCAGTAAGTTTACAGTTTTCATACGGGCTGAGGGGCGGTTGGGTAGCCTAGTGGTTAAAGCGTTCGCTCGTCACGCCGAAGACCCGGGTTCGATTCCCGACGGGCACAATGTGTGAAGCCCATTTCTGGTGTCCCCCGCCGTGATATTGCTGGAATATTGCTGAAAGCGGCGTAGAACCATACTCACTCACTCACTCATACGGGCTGTAACTTTGATAGTGGTATTTACGGTATGTGTGTACAGAAGCATGCTTTCCTCGTGATAAATTAAGCCCTTAACCTACATATAACTCGACCCACAGCTGAACCCGGCTGCGATCAACGTGTCATTTGAATGTTCTGTGCTCAAAAGAAGGTCGAGGTCTTGTTCACATTGTGTAATGCGCTGATCAGATGGTTCAAAACATTGGTACGGGTACAACAAGAGAGGCGACCATCATCGCCCGTTGTCGACTGGCTACTGAGTCAGTACATCGTTGTCGTATTGCTTCAGGTCACAGTGTAACATGACGCCGCATGACCATGACAATGAAATAAATTTTGCCGTATCACTGTGTTAGATCAGAATATGGCCCAGATGACACAAATATATGTTGAGTAAAGGTTATACAGCAAACAACGTTTATAACGAACTGACGGATATATCGAGCTGTTTTTTTGTCCCGACCATTTGCTGTATACATGTTGCAATTATGTTTATAACGAAGTACGGTTATAACGAACTAAAATTAGCGGTTCCTTTAAGTTCGTCATAACCGTAGTTTACTGTATACATACTGGATAACAAGACATGGACGTGCGCACACAACAGCGTCTAACTGTCATTCGCCAGCAACCTACCTAGTGAATCAATGTGTTGAACAAGAGGGCGTGGCTCATTGGCTTGTAGTTAAACGTGATCACGCCCAGAGACCAAGGATTGCTAAGTTCAGGGAGACCGACGATGAAAGTGGCAACGTTGAAAGCCCGTACTTATTTTCTGTCACGTGGATATGGTGTGGCAACTGACCTCACAACCCGACAACAGTTGAAACAACTGGAAGGAACCAGCATGCGGGGATATTTCAAGAAATGAATTTTTGTTACCGAACCGGATACCCGTCGGCTCTACAGTGATCGAAGGAGGGCGACGCCATACTTCTCTCAACAAGATTTGAGAATGACTCGTTTACGTCAAAATACTGTCGATACATCTGAGACGCGTGAAGATCCGGGTAGAGAAGAGGTGACATTGCTTGTCGTAAGAGGCGATAAACGGGATAGGGGGGTCAGGCTCGCTAACTTGGTTGATGCATGTCATCGTATCCAAATTGCCTAGATCGATGTTCATGATGTCAGTCACTGGATTGTCTGGTCCAGACTCGATTATTTACAGACCGTCGTCACATAGCATGAATGTTGCTGAGTGCTACGTTAAGCAACAAACAAACAAACAAACAAAATAATGCATCTGAAGACAAGTCCATGACATAGATAGATATCTCACAGGGACCTATTTTAATCGACAACGATGTCTTGGCGTGCTGACCCAGTTCATGTAAGCAACTGTGAGGACAGTCAGTGCAGTGATAGCGATCAAGATCAACAACAAGTTCTTTACATCCTTATAGATACTTGGAATGTCAATGGACTTGTGAGCAAATGTCTGTCGTCTTTGGATATATTTTGCAAAGCTGAAACATTTTTGAATGAGATTGACTGCAACCCTTTCCAGATAATAATTTGTACACTTCAGCAGTAGAGTCATCTAAGTCTGGACGTCTATGTGGGAGCGTACATGTATGCATAAGAAAACAATTGTGTAAGAAATGTGTAAAAAATGTTTTTAATGAAGAGAATATTTTGTGTTTTAGAATCTCCAAGACGTGCTTATATTGAAAGATAGTATTTTAATTTGCATTCACGTTCTTCGTATTTGGTCACCATATTATCAACACGTTAACTTTACATGTTCATTAGAGATACTTGAAGCCTTTCTGCTTAACAATGTAACATCTATCTATGAATGTTATGGTGTTTCATGTAGTGATTTCAATTCCCGGGTCCACCTGCACAGAACAATCTCAGCACTACAATTATTGTAAATGTTGACGATCGCGATCTTTGGCTTCGGCTACAATCGCCATCCTCTTCCACAAAGCGATTGCAGACTAAGATCGCTGTCAGCTACATTTAAAACATACAATTGGTCTGTCCGTTGTATTTAGTGAATGGCCGCTTTTTCCTTTCACAGTTTGCAATCATCATTGAATTCATGGAATCACAGTTATTCCGTGCGGTACCATTCCCTGTAGAATTGTCTGGTTTAACATATCTTCTGTATCAACGCATCCATGATACGGTTAAAGGGGGTTCCCTTTAACCGATGTATGTTGTGTTATGTTAGACTGAAAACTGTTACAGATGAGTTGACGTATCTGTAGTTGACTTCTTGTCAAAAGTGCCCTTGGTATCCAGAGCTCTGTCTGAAACGTCGGGGACCTCCTGCCCTTCCCCCACGTCTACCTCCACCTGGTCCACGGCCCACGGCTGCAGTTCCCCCCGGGCCTGGGTGGCGAACACCAAAGTTCCCAGGGCACAGAATCCCGCACACACGTAGAACACGTTCCGCCATTCTTCCTGAGTTTTCTATGGGGAGAGAAATGTGTGTGAGTGATAATAGTGTAACGCCGCGGTAAGCAATATTTCAACAGTGTATGGAAAAGTGACTTTTGACATCGTATGGGGAATCGAACTCGGGTCTTCGGGTGAACGTTTTACCAAAACCAGCCTGATAGCTAACGGAGGCAATAGTAAGGGGCTGGCCATTTCATATTATGGTGGTGGTGATGGTCAATCTCATTAAAATCAGATCTTAAACAAAGATCTGAGGACATCCCATTACGGGTCACGTCAGAACGACCTTTCGTTAATTTTGGCCGACCAATGAAATGACTGACAAGAAATCGACATGAGCCAATCAGAAGGCAGCTTTCACGAGCTTTATGACACTGGTTTCAAACTGGCGACGACATATTTTGACGTATTCTCGTGGTTGCATGATCAGAAAAACACATTCCGACTGTCACGATCTGCTAATCCACGCTCTGATTGGTTGGATGAAAGGTCGTTCTGAGGTGACCCGTAATGGGATGTCCTCAGATCTTTGTTTAGCGATAGCAAGAACTAAGATCTGATTTTATTTAGATTGTGGTGATGGTGGGTTGTTGCTGAAAAAATATCTGGTCTCAATTCAAAATCCCAGACACACAATCCCCCCAGAACATGAAATATGCATAAATTATCATTATCATTAAAGGTCGGCAACATTTAATCAGAAACTGAAAAAGCAGTGAGCATCGATTTATGCGTTCACGTGAATGAGTTGGGTTAACGCCGTATAACAATATTCAGTCATATTGGGGAATGTCAGCTTAATGTGAGAGGTAAGTCAAACAGCACGGCGCAGACACGGGTAGATCATTAGGGTGTAGTCATAAGAAGTTTTAGTGAAGCGTTAAACAGCTAAAGAAAATCCAAGTAAGGGTGAATGCGGGAACCGACTAAAAGAAGATTCATTGACTCACCACCAATCGTTACAAGTGACAAAACATCATAAGAAACAATCCCGTATATGAAATGATGACGTCACCGTTGGAATCCCGCGTTAGAATTTGTCCTATGTCGTACGAGGCGACTAAATGGATCGGGTTGTTATGTTTGTTGCCTTGGTTACAGACCGCTGTCGTATGGCTGTGAAAGCTGAGAGCACCGTTGAACAAAACAAACAAAGAACTAAACCGCTAACGACTCTTCTACGCGATTTGCTGTGCAGAGTTGCGTCCCTTGGGCACGCCAGAAACCTATGATTGTGGGTTCGAATCCCGTTTCGCCCTGATTATGTTTCTAGGTTTGTCAGCACCATACCCGTGCTCGTGGGTTTGACCCGAGCGGTAAACGTCTGAGACCTGCATCACTTCGGGCTTTACGCCCACATTACGCTGACCCGCCGTGATATAACTGGAATACTGTTAAACGCGGCGTTAAACCCAACTCACTCACTCACACTTACGTTTGGGGTGAGGGCACCGGCTAGGAGAGGTGACACCATCCCCGGGACCGTCGCAGCAGCGTTACAAATACCGAACAGTATACCAGCGTATCTGCAACATGAATGTCGACATTGAGACACAGATACCCACATACACAAACATGAACCCTGTAAGGAAATGACGCTCTGGTATACGTGTATATTGCTCAGAAAGGTGTTAGATAACAAATATACCAAAACAAAATCATAAAACAAAGTCAGATATTTCCATTTTATTCAAAGGTTAAACATGAAACAGGACTTACCAATCACAATTGAAAATTATATCATTTCATTCAGTGAAATATATATTTAATAAAATGAATATATTACGGAATTCCACAGCTGTCCATGGAGGAATGAGGAACCTTGGTTACGCCTATTTGAGCCATTTTCCGTTACTATGGCGACAGGGTACACAAACAATTGGATTGACACATTGTCTATGTTGGTAATTGAACTCGGATGTCCAACACTTATCGCGATCACTTTAACCACCAGGCTATACTGTTTATCAGTACACTTATATATCTGCACACTGTGCATCAGACCGCCTCCGTGGTCTAGTGGTAGAGCGTCCGCCCGGAGAGCGGAAGGTCCGGGGTTCGATCCCCGACCGCGTCATACCAAAGGACGTTTAAAGATTGTACTTGTTGTTACCCTGTCTGGCGCTCGGCATTTAGGTGCTAAAACAAGAACTGGTCGGCTCGGAGTCAGTATACTGTGTCTGAGTGGGGTATTCATGTTAAACTGCGGCATGGTATCTCAGTGATATAGCACTATAAATCGGCATCAGTCCAGACTAGTACAAGCAGCCACACACACACACACACACACACACACGCGCGCGCGCGCGCGCTATGTAAGTGCAATAATCTTGGACACAACGTTAAACCCCATTTCACCTCACCTCACCTGTGCATCAGTACACTGCATATCCGGACACTCTATGTCAGTACTCTATATATCAATACATTGTACATCCATACTTTCTATATCTACACACTGTATATCAGTACACTGTATATCGATACACGTTATGTCAGAACACTGTAAACTCACGGGCAATAGAAAGTATACACTTTTAAATTGGTGGGGTAAACTGTTTCAAGGCTTCAGACAGACTGGCAGGACACAAGACCAAGATCGGGCAGACCACGAGTGACAACGCAACAGGAAGATCGGCACATGCGCACGTACCATCTGCGCACGTACCATCTGCGCAACAGGTTCGTCACAGCGACGGAAACGACAGCAACGGCGTTAGGACGCCTTATCAGTCGACGCACGGTGCTACGACGCCTACGTCACGCAGGTATTAGATCTCGCCGTTGCTTCCTTGGAATGGCATTGACCCGGGAACATCGACGTTGAAGACTGCAGTTGGCCAGAACAGTAGGACGTTGGCACGTCCGTGATTGGTAGAGAGTACTTTTCTCTGACGAAAGAAGGTTTTCAGCTGTTTTACAATGATGGTAGAGCTCGAGCATACCGTCGCAGGGGGAAACGTTTGGTGCCAGGCTGCATTCAAGAAGTTCATCCCATTGGTGGAGGTGGTGAAATGGTTTCGGGTAGAATTTGTGGCAACCAACGGACGAGGCTTGTCCGCGTCCGCGGCATCCTCAACGGCCAGCGATACAGAGATGATATTCTTCAACCCGTGGTGCTTCCATACCTTCGCCAAAAGCAACACTCCTACAGCATGACAACGCTAGACCACACTCTGCAAGGCTCGTCCAAGATTTCCTGAGAGTGAGTGAGTATGGTTTTACGCCGCTTTTAGCAATATTCCAGCAATATCACGGAAAGACACCGGAAATGGTCTTCACACATTGTACCCATGTCGGGAATCGAACCCGGGTCTTCGACGTGACGAGCGAACGCTTTAACCACTAGGCTACCCGACCGCCCCGATTTCCTGTGAACGAACAACGTCAACATTCTCCCGTGGCCAGCACTCTCGCCTGACTTGAACCCAGTTAAACACTTATGGGATCATCTGAAGCGTCAGGTCCGAAGACGTCCACACCCGCCAGCAAACACCAGCAAACCAGCAAGAGCTTGCCGACGCTGTAAGAATTGAATCGAATCGGATTCCCGATTACGTCAACGTCAATGAGGCGGCGTGTCTGGGCGTGCATTGGTGCTCACGGTGGTCATACTCGTTACTGAGCGTACCAGGTTTCCGTTGAAGACGTTCTTCAACAAATGGGTTACACTTTCTTCTTTCTTTTCTTGGGGGGTAGCCTAGTGGTTAAAGCGTTCGCTCGTCACGCCGAAGACGCGGGTTCGATTCTCGACATGGGTACAATGTGTGAAGCCCATTTCAGGTGTCCCCCGCCGTGATATTGCTGGAATATTGCTAAAAGCGGCGTAAAACCATACTCACTCACTCACTGATCATTCCTGTGAACTGTGATCTGTCTACCCCCATGTACTTGTAAACGTCATGTACACGTCACCTGCTTTGAGTTTCGCACTGAAATTGTGCATGGACAATTGCATGTGACCCTATTAGCGAATGCAAAATCATTGAATAACATTCTCTTGTTTCTTTTCATTATATTGACAATCAAACATGGGTGTATACTTTCTTTTGCCAACTAGTATGTATCAGCATCATCCATATCTGCACACTGTATATCAGTATTCTGAAAATATGTATACTGTATATCCACACACTGTATATGAATGTACTGCATATCCGCACACTGTATATGAATGTACTGCATATCCACACACTGTATATCAATGTACTGCATATCCGCACAATGTATTTCAGTATACTGCATATCATCTACATCAGTATTGAGAGACACAACCTCAGATAAACAAGGCCAACCAAAAAGATGAAAATACCATGATCTATACTCTTAACGATGATAACATCTTTTGTTTTAACCATCCGACACATTTTTTTTAAAACAACATGGAACAACACATTAAAAACTGAATTTCCCATCTGGAATTGAAAAGAGGGAGAAACCCTACCTTGGAGCGAAGTCGACAGTGTTGACAATGAAGCCAGCAGATGCCATCCCAACACACCACATGGCTATCGTTAACAAAACTACAGCGACGTAGCGGTTCTCCACGTTCACAAACCCTGTCCCGATCAGACACGCACCTGCCCCCACGAAGGCTGAAATAAAACCTAATTTGTGATATAAAATGATAGATTTGGTAGAAAAACATGTGTAGTGCAACCCCGCTAGTACGGAAATCGACTACTTAATCGATTATTGTTAAGAATGCATTCCTGTATACGATGGGCATAACCCCATATCATTGATTTGACCATCCGGAAATTTGATAACCTGAAGATTTCACCGGGAGCGCTACCACCCGGATGTATGGGTTGTCACTAAACATAACTGGCTAAAAGATATTTAGAAATTATGTCCAAACACAAGTGAGGCTGGATGTATATGATAGAGATACTCTTATCATGACAATTCAGATCAGCACTGCCTCTACCAACTGTCTGGTGTTGAGGTGCAGCATGTGTTGCATACACAGTCAGGGGATTCAATCTGTCCCCCACAATGATCAAAGACCTTTGACTAAGAGGTTCCATTATGCATCTAACATTTTACACTTTGACCTTCGATCGTTTGCTAACATTTCACTTTGCCTTTCGAAAATTTGGAAATCATTTCACTTTAACTTCCACTCATTTTGCCTTCATTTTACTTTTCCTTCCGACCATTCTGTTTTCATCTCATATTGACTAAATTTCACTTTGCCTCCGAATCCTTTTGCCAGCATTTCACATTTTTCCGCTGATTTGGCCTACTTTTCACTTTGCCTTCCGCTCATTTTGCAAACATTTCACTTTGCCATCCACTCATTTTGCCTACATTTCACTTTGCCATCCATTCATTTTGCCTACATTTCACTTTGCCGTCCACTCATTTTGCCTACATTTCACTTTGCCGTCCACTAATTTTGCCTACATTTCACTTTGCCGTCCACTCATTTTGCCTACATTTCACTTTGCCGTCCACTCATTTTGCCTTCATTTCACTTTGCTGTCCACTCATTTTGCCTACATTTCCCTATCCCTTCCAATCATTTTGCCTACATTTCACTTTGCCATCCACTCATTTTGCCAACATTTCACTTTGCCATCCACTCATTTTGCCTACATTTCACTTTGCCATCCACTCATTTTGCCAACATTTCCCTTTGCCGTCCGCTCATTTTGCCTATATCTCATTTAGACTAGTTGCCATTGCCTTCTGCTCATTTTGCCTACATCTCATTTAGATTAGATTGCCATTGCCTTCCACTCATTTTGCCTACATCTCATTTAGACTAGTTGCCATTGCCTTCTGCTCATTTTGCCTACATCTCATTTAGATTAGATTTCCATTGCCTTCCACTCATTTTGCCTACATCTCATTTAGATTAGATTGCCATTGCCTTCCACTCATTTTGCCTATATCTCATTTAGACTAGTTGCCATTGCCTTCTGCTCATTTTGCCTACATCTCATTTAGATTAGATTGCCATTGCCTTCCACTCATTTTGCCTACATCTCATTTAGACTAGTTGCCATTGCCTTCTGCTCATTTTGCCTACATCTCATTTAGATTAGATTGCCATTGCCTTCCACTCATTTTGCCTACATCTCATTTAGATTAGATTGCCATTGCCTTCCACTCATTTTGCCTACATCTCATTTAGACTAGATTGCCATTGCCTTCTGCTCATTTTGCCTACATCTCATTTAGATTAGATTGCCATTGCCTTCCACTCATTTTGCCTACATCTCATTTAGACTAGATTGCCATTGCCTTCCACTCATTTTGCCTACATCTCATTTAGACTAGATTGCCATTGCCTTCCGCTCATTTTGCCTACATCTCATTTAGACTAGATTGCCATTGCCTTCCGCTCATTTTGCCTACATCTCATTTAGACTAGATTGCCCTTGCCTTCCACTCATTTTGCCTACATCTCATTTAGACTAGATTGCCATTGCCTTCCGCTCATTTTGCCTATATCTCATTTAGACTAGATTGCCATTGCCTTCCGCTCATTTTGCCTACATCTCATTTAGACTAGATTGCCATTGCCTTCCACTCATTTTGATTACATTTTACTTGTCCGTTATTTCATTTGCCTTCACCTCATTTTGGTTTCAAATCATTATGCCTACATATCAGTTTGGCAACAATTCACATTACCCTCAATGTGCTTGAGTGTGCACAGTGAATATGGTACAAAGGTGATTTGTAGCCGCCACATTCCACTGTTATCACGGCGAGAATCTTTGGGGCTTCTCTTTACTCATATTCAGAATAAAGCCCACGCCACGAGTATATTAAAGAATTACGTCTTGCGACTGATTATGCTTTTTGCGACGATCCGTTAATCCGTTAAAAATGTGTGTATCTACTGTTACTGACATGTACAATGTGTGTATCTACTGTTACTGACATATACAATGTGTGTATCTACTGTTACTGACATATACAATGTGTGTATCTACTGTTAATGACAGATACAATGTGTGTATCTACTGTTACTGACATATACAATGTGTGTATCTACTGTTACTGACATATACAATGTGTGTACTACTGTTACTGACATATGCAATGTGTGTACTACTGTTACTGACATGTACAATGTGTGTATCTACTGTTACTGACACATACAATGTGTGTATCTACTGTTACTGACAGATACAATGTGTGTATCTACTGTTACTGACATATACAATGTGTGTATCTACTGTTACTGACATATACAATGTGTGTATCTACTGTTACTGACATATACAATGTGTGTATCTACTGTTACTGACATATAGACTGGAAGATCTTTCGGGTGGCCGTCGTGCTGAGGTATTTCCTTGACCGGATGTAGTCGGCCACTTGACCTGTCAACATTCCGGACACTGCCTGGCTCACGTAGGGAATGGACGACAGCAAGCCGTTCTTTTGACAAAAATCAATCGATTTACATTAAACATTTCCATGATGGACACTATACACACATCTAGCAATGCTGATTTTATTACCATAAGCACTGAAATTAACTGAGTGAGTGTGTGTCAGTTTTACATTGTTTCAGCATCATTCGTTCAATATCAGGCCAACATCCAAACCGACCTCGGGTCTTCGCTGTGAGTGAGTGTGTGAGTTGGGTTTTACGCCGCTTTTAACAGTCCCTTTTAACAGTATTCCAGTTATATCACGGCGTGTCAGCTTAATGTGGGAGGAAAGCCGGAAGTGATGCAGGTCTCAGACGTTTACCACTTCGGTGAAACCCACGAGCACGGGTATGTTGCTGACAAACCTAGAAACATAATCGGGGCGAACCAGGATTCGAACCCACAATCATAGGTTTCTGGCGTGCCCAAGGGACGCAACTCTGCACAGCGAATCGCGGCGCCTTCGACGACTGGGCCACCCGTGCCCCCTGGTCTTCCCTGTGACAAGCGAACACTTTAACCACTAGGCAACCCCAGCGCCCTCACCCGTTAGGAATTCAGAAGAAAAAAAAAATTATTATAATTTCCATCATAATCGTACCTCACAACAATAAAAAAAAAAAATTATTTGTTTCTAGTCCACCGGTATCGAAATGCCTATTCGTCGAATGTATTTACATACGCACCTCGGCTATGTCGAAATCCAGCACCTCTTTAAGGAATGTTGGTATGATGGTCAGTAGTGTGTATATTATCCAGTTACAACACACGTGTGCAGTTAGACACGCCCACAGCGCCGGTGACTTCAGCAGGGCGGCCCATGGGGTCGAGAACGTCTAGATAACAACGTTAACATCTTATTTGTGAAGTAATGGAGACATCACGGGCATCTGTTAATTCCCGAAGTCTGATTCCCGAAGGGGCGGATTAATTAATTAATTCATTAATTAATTCTTCCAGAATCAGCAGGTGCGAGTGATTTCTCTGACTTAAAACAATATAATAATATAATTTGGCATTCTTACCTATAGCAATGATCGCCAAAATGAGACCCATCGCAACACTGATTTGGCTTTCAGCGAGCGTTGCCTTAGCCTCACCGTAGATACATGACGTGTTGTTTCAAGTAACATTTTGTATTGAACGAATATTTAGCTATCATCTGTTGTCGACTCGCAGTTAGGCATATGTCATTATCGGTTAATATAATGTCCAGTGTCCCCCGCCGTAATATAATGTCCAGTGTCCCCCGCCGTAATATAATGCCCAGTGTCCCCCGCCGTATTATAATGTCCAGTGTCCCCCACCGTAATATAATGTCCAGTGCCCCCCGGCGTAATATAATGTCCAGTGTCCCCCGCCGTATTATAATGTCCAGTGTCCCCCGCCGTAATATAATGTCCAGTGTCCCCCGGCGTAATATAATGTCCCCCGCCGTAATATAATGTCCAGTGTCCCTCGGCGTAATATATTTTGTCCAGTGTCCCCCGCCGTAATATAATGTCCAGTGTCCCCCGCCGTATTATAATGTCCAGTGTCCCTCGGCGTAATATAATGTCCAGTGTCCCCCGCCGTAATATAATGTCCAGTGTCCCCCGCCGTAATATAATATCCAGTGTCCCCCGCCGTAATATAATGTCCAGTGTCCCCCGCCGTAATATAATGTCCAGTGTCCCCCGCCGTAATATAATGTCCAGTGTCCCTCGGCGTAATATAATGTCCAGTGTCCCCAGCCGTAATATAATGTCCAGTGTCCCCCGGCGTAATATAATATCCAGTGTCCCCCGCCGTAATATAATGTCCAGTGTCCCTCGGCGTAATATAATGCCCAGTGTCCCCCGCCGTAATATAATGCCCAGTGTCCCCCGGACATTGAGTGATAAGAAACGCTTCGACCATTTCGTTACTGAATCGATCTTCTATGGTAGAATATATAACACATTTAAATCATGTAGATACAATGGACGATACCTGTTGTTGTTTCCCTATACTGGTGATGATATAGTTCCTCTCTCTCTCCGTGATACGAGGGTGCTGAGCCGGTGTGCTGGCGACCGTTATATACCACAGCCCGCACCATAACAACGATATACCACCTGTAAGCATGAGACAAACAATGTTGTTCCAAAGTGGGTGATATCAACTAGTTCTGGGGTGAAAATATTTATTGATTTCAAAGATTGAACAATTTCCTTGCTTCCTCTTGGCAAATGTTATTCCCCACAAACTGATGCCGTGTCCAAAGCAATATACATTAGCAGGCATTATAAGGGGAGTATTTGTGATGGCCGGACACCTTTATGAGTGAGTGAGTGAGTGAGTGAGTGAGTGAGTGGGTGGGTGGGTGGGTGGGTGGGTGGGTGGGTGGGTGGATGAGTGAGTGAGTGAGTGAATGGGATTGAGTGATTGGGATTGAGTGGAGTGAGTGAGTGGAGTGAGTGAGTGAAGTGGAGTGGAGTGGGGTGAGGTGGGTGCGTAGGTGGGTGGGTGAGTTAGTGAGTGAGTGAGTGAGTGAGTGAGTGGGTGGGTGAGTGAGTGAGTGGGATTGAGTGGAGTGGGGTCGAGTGGGGTGGGGTGGGGGTATTGGTGAGTGAGTGAGTGAGTGAGTGAGTGAGTGAGTTTGTTTATGGTTTAACCTTGTTTTGAACCTGTTTCCAGTAATATGACGGTGCATTAGCTCACTGTCAGAGTAAAGCCATATTGCATGTTATATACCGAAGTTAATACTGTCATTATGTATTTATTGGGGTTTTATCTACGGTACTAAGTATGGTTTAGTACATAATGGATTTTCGGTTGATGACAAAGACGGGAAAAGGAATATTCGGTTGTAACAATTTACTTGAAAGAATACTCGGTTATAACAAATAACATGTGGGGAATAGTCGCTTGAAGTTTTAATGAATCTATTCACTTTAGTATCGGATTGTGTATATCTTAATTACCTGTAACATAGAACATGGAACCCCATCCATTATCGAAGCCATATATGCACATGAACCCCGATAAAGCGAACGTTGCTATGCTACCAAACTGAGGTCCTGGAATGTAGAATATTAATAACAATATTACAATAATGACAAAACGGCTTCCCCTTCTATCTGTGACAAATACTCAAGTCAATCTATAAACATGCTATATTTCAAGATTGTCTGGGTTTTTAAAAAAATACTATTTGAGCAACTATTTGTGAAAACAAATTAGACAGTCGCAATAATGACTTCAGAACATTTCTCCATGACTTTTTTATGTACAGATATTGGAAGTGAAATTAAATCATCAAAACATTCATTTGCATCGATCCGTTGACATGTGTTATGACTTGTAGTGGCCGTATAAACTGTTGTAGGTATGTTTTGTAATAACTGGCACTTTGAGATGTTTCTGGATGGGACAGTTTCTAGAAGGCTAATAGTACCTATATAAGAGCGACACGAGTGTGATTTCAGGCCTTTCCGTCTACTTGCGAAGTGCATCTTCCCCATGCAAGGGAGTTAACTGACTTTAAAACTCCAGTTTCCACCCTTGCCGAACTAGGCTGGTATTATGGAGTTACATTTTGGCTTGACAAACGAGTCTATGCATAGTCCAATCAAAATCGCGCAACGAAATCAAAATCCGGTTCGTAAACTGTCATGCAGGTTTCTGTCGATGGCAGCATTTCCAAAGCATGTGCACCCCAAACTCGTTGTCAACAGATATTTTCCAAATCTTTTCATGTTTTTAATCAAGGTGCTCACGTGATTTGATGCATTTCGCGATGTAAGACCCGTTTTATCACAATATAGATTTTGATTATCGATCAGATCGTCTTGACTGGGCGCCGCCATTTTGTTTGAAGCAAATGCAAGTGATACGAGAGGTGGAATCTGATTGGTCCATACGATCGAGGCCAGGAATTCCAGCCTTGTTCGGCAAGAGTGCAAACTGGACTTTCAAAGTCAGTTAACTCACTTCCCTCGGGAAGATGGCGAAGAGCGGTTTAGAGAAATATTTGGAAGTACCGAGTTCCAGCCAGCTTCCAGTACTATTCTTGTAGTAGTCCGGACTAATGGAGTGTGCAAGTCCACTGGCATACCAAGCCGCAGTTGTTTAACATAGATACCCAGCTCAGACACAGTATACTGACTCCGAGACGACCAGAACTTGGTTAACCCCATAACTCCCAAGCGTCGTGCAGGGAAACATTAAATACCATATTCCGATTTCTAGGTTAACCTCTGCCACCACGAAACACATCTCAGATTGGCCGATTTCCTCAGAAATATAAACTTTCAAATCTGATTTACCTGAGTAACAGACAGCAGTGAGTTTTGTCTTCTCTAGTAGTGGCGCCCATTGGCCCCACATGGATTGAAAGGATGGAAAAAATACTCCCTGGGGAGAGTATAGTAAAACACAATTTAAACCAGTAAAACAAAATAAATCAGAATTTAGCTCACAGTCATATATTGTCTTGTTGAGTAGAGCTGTAGAGGTTTCGGAATATAAATACACCCACTATGGTCAAATGACGTTCTTTCATTGGACAAGAACCTTTTAATGTACTGGTTAAGAGTAACACAATTCGAATTGTGTCGACTGTTTTGATGTTGGTTCGTTTAAGCCTCCGTGATAACTGTAATAATTGTGTTAGATATCGCAATGCGCAATTCCATCAGTGAATTTATCATCCTTAGTAATAATTGCATTAGTGAGAAAGTAACATGGAAATTAAAAAGGCTATTTTCAACTTGACAGTCATCTCTACCTGTGCCAGGCCAAGAATCACACGAAGCACATACACCAGGTAGATGGAAGTCCGGGCGCCGATTGGTAGAAGCAGTGTGGCGATCGAGCCAATCAGCATCCCGATAAACAGGACGTACTTTCCGCCATATCTACTCGCCAGTATTCCCGCGGGAATCTGTGTCACTATGTAGCCGTAGAAGTACGAGCTGAGGATTCCAGACTGCTCTCCCTTGGACCAGTTAAACTCGGCATGCTGGAAATATAACGTGTGAAGTACAAGGACATATTATTTATCCCATCTTTGAACCATAGCTGTGTTTAAGTAGGAAGTGTGTGAGCTTGTGTGTGTGGTGGTGGTGGGGGGGGGGGGGGGGGGGGGGGGGGCACAAAGCAGTTTGTTTTCATTTTTAATTTATGATTTACATGTACAAGATTGATGCAATACTTTGACAAAGCAGGACACTTCGAAGCCATCGAGCGATGCCAAAGGCTGCAACACATAAAGTAACGAGTAACGAGTTCCGTTTATGTAAACACAAACGTTAACAATGGACTATGTAATGCACTAAATGCGAACGTTTAACAAATATTATAGCTAAAATGAATAGAATTATCACAAATATGCCCGCTTGTTATCAGAAATCTGCAGGCCACTGCTTTCCCGGGCTGCTATCTTTTCTATTTCTCTGTGACGTCAATATTGTCACGTTTCTTGTTTGTGACGTCATCCTCTAGTATGTTCTATGACGTTGTAAGTTCGGTGACCTCCGTTGTGAGCTTTTTGTTCTCTATAGCATTTATTAATAAAGTTAGGAACGTGGTTTCTTTAAAAAATAATGTCTTTACACATCACAATTAATGATATTAAAGCACAAAACAGTGTCGAATAACGAATTTCTGTACCAGAATTGTCATGTGAAATATGTGAGGTGGGTGTTGGAATATCCAAAATGGCTGTTTCTGACGGTCTCATATTCGGTCAGACACTACCATCTTGGATTTTTACAGGTATACGAGTTCATATGGGGTTAGTAGTTTTGCTCTCTGATTGGTCAATCTGACTTTGAGGCATAATAAGAAGAGATACAAGTGAGTGAGTGGGTTTGGTTTACGCCGCTTTTAACATTATTCCAGTTATATCACAACGTGTCAGCTTAATGTGGGAGGAAAGCCCGAAGTGATGCAGGTCTCAGACGTTTACCACTTCGGTGAAACCCACGAGCACGGGTATGGTGCTGACAAACCTAGAAACATAATTGGGGCGAACCGGGATTCGGGCCCACAATCAGGTTTCTGGCATGCCCAAGGGACGCAACTCTGAACAGCGAATCGCGGCGCCTTAGGCGACTGGGCCACTCGTGCCCCCAGAAGAGATACAAGGGCGACCACACTTGACCATGATACGTAACAGTGCGAAGGGGATGAGGTGGTTGAAAACTGTACCTCCGATGTCGACGACGTAGAATTGGTGTCGGTGTCGTTGACCATGCACACGATGGCGACGCTGAGGTTGACACGGGCGGCGTTCATCATGATGCCCGCAAACAAGCCAACGAAGGCCAGTAGCCATCGTTGTGAACACAGGCACGATACTACAAAGGAATACAAGTCCGTATACAACTATTTGAAGAATAGGGCGTGAATACGTTTTGGAAAAGAACGGTTCACTTAAAATATAAACATAAACAATTTGAGTTTGTTCGCCATTTGATTGTTATTTAACCAAATAATACCAAATGATTCAGTGTCATATTTTGTGAATCAGTGAGTCAGCAAATGATTTTTCGCCGCTTTTAACAACATTCCAGCAATATCATGGCGGGGGACACCAGACATGAGCTTCATACATTGTACCCATTTGGGGAATCGAACCCGTTTCTTCGGTGTGATGAGCGAACGTTTTACCTATATGTTTAGTATATATTATTCAAAGTATGCTGAGGATCCATTTTGATGACATCAAAACATCATCCAACAAATGAAAATTGAAATATCTCAGTACATAATGATTGGATAACCCCTTTAGGACCAAAAGACGTTAAAAGATGGTACTTGTTGTTACCCTGTCTGGCGCCCGGCATTGAGGGGCTAAAACAACGGCTGGTCGGCTCGGAGTCAGTATACTGTGTCTGAGTGGGGTATTCATGTTCAACTGCGGCATGGTATCTCAGTGAGCTGGCACTATAAATCGGCATCAGTCCGGCCTAGTACAAGCAGCCACACAAACACCCACACACACGTACATGCACGTCGCTATATAAGTGCAATAATCTTGGACGCGACGTTTAACCCTATTTCACCTCACCTCACCTCAATTTCATGACGAACGGACAGAGGCATGTGGTGCACGGGGTGATTGAGAACCTGTGCTTGGATGTATCGTAACAGACTCGTTGAGCATCATTATAAGAGAGAACAACAGCGACTGAGGATTGCAACTGTTACAACTGAATGCACCTATGCCCCCTCGGCGTAAAAAAAAGTCGTCTGACGACCGAAGAATTTAAGTGACTGTCGATGAACAGACATGCTTGAAACTCGGTCAACATAACGTCACGAAGTAAAGGTTTTTGGTGTCAGCCAAAGTGCGATCAGCAGGGCATTTCATTGATATCAGACGTTTGGATCAGCTACCCAGCGACATGCAGGTGATTGCAGCAAGATGTCATCACTTCGTGACTGACACCACTCTGAGAAATGACCTGCGGAACGCCAATGGCGCTAACGTTTCTACTCAGTCAGTGTGTGATCGTCTCCGCGAGGCTAGTCTCCGGATATCGAAGCATGCATTTGCATCACACCCATCCGACATCACAAAGTGGCGCGTTTCGATTAGACAATGAATTTGTTTTCATGATTTCTTTTATGTTTCAGATTTTGACCTGTGATCACGCGTTCTTTGTTGTCATTCTGTCGCTTTGTTCATTAAACATGCCTTCGCGCATGATTGTCTTTGGCTTTTTCAACACAATTTGACGTTTTACCTTGGTGATCCTTAGCAAACGTTGAGTAGTATATGTTAACATGATTAGCATGCTAAAAAAAAGGGGGAGGCGCGCACCTGCCTGGATTCGAGTATAGAATACTCTTGGTAATTTTTAAATATTAATGTCCTCTTTAAACGGATTGAGCGAAGTATTTTGATTTGCGACTGTCACTAACTGTCACTAACTGACATGCCATTAAATGAGAATGCCGAGAGGTTGCACATGCCACAGACAGACAAAATGTCGGCCTTCTCATCGTTCGTTCGGCGGTGTGAATGCCATCAAACACAGGTGTTCTTGGTCGTTATATATAATGAAATATCGCTGACTCACGCGTAACAAACACTCAATCACTCATTCTAATCTGCATTAAGTGACTAGTGGTCGCATTGGGGTTGCGCACACATTGTGAACATTTGTTTGATTAGGGTCATAAGATATGAATTCTCAGCAAAGCTTTCAAAAGGTTTCATGTGGAGAACATTTCAAAATCTTATTCATAAGTAAAAAAAAATATGTCTGATCCAATTCCCTATTTTGACGTGGACCACATGTTACCGTGTTTTCGGGTAAGCAATTAAGTTGCCCTTGCGTGTGTTTGTGACGACAGCCACCGATGGGGCAGGTTACGAACAACTTTTCGCGAACACCTGAAATAATCGCTATTTGAGAGTGATTCATAAATACATGCTCATGATAAACTCGGAATCGTACAATGGATATTCATGCTTATGGAAAGTGATTTGTCGCTTTTAATACGGAATCATAGAATGGCGATGATGCACCAGTTAGCTGATAACACGAGTTCTGTAAAGCAAAGTGTTCTTCGTGACCTGAGACGAACTCTTACACCAATAATCATAATTATGATCACATTGTTACTATACACTCCGTTTAACTCAAAATTTACCCCAAGAACAGAGTGAGTGAGTGAGTGAGTGAGGTTTTACGCCGCTTTTAGCAATATTCCAGCAATATCACTGCGGGGGACACCAGAAATGGGCTTCACACATTGTACCCATGTCGGGAATCGAACCTCGGTCTTCGGCGTGACGAGCTAACGCTTTAACCACTAGGCTACCCGACCGCCCCCCCAAGAACAGAGCCCTCCATGGGAGTTATGGTGGTCGCTCACAATGAATCTTTGGAAGCAACCACTCTTTATACATAGTAAGAATACAGTTAGAAGACAACATTTAAAAATATATCACTAGTCTGATACTGATGATCCAAAGATGTGAAAAGAAGACAATTGCTGTCACCCTGCTGGGAGTCAGTACAGTGTGTCTGAATGGTGAGGTAAGGTGAGGTGAAATGGGGTTTAACGTCGCGTCCAAGATTATTGCACTTATATAGCGACGTGCATGTACGTGTGTGTGTTTGTGTGGCTGCTTGTACTAGTCCGGACTGATGCCGATTTATAGTGCTAGCCCACTGAGATACCATGTCGCAGTTTAACATGAATACCCCGCTCAGACACAGTATACTGACTCCGAGCCGACCAGTCCTTGTTTTAGCCCCTTAATGCCGAGCGCCAGACAGGGTAACAACAAGTACCATCTTTTAACGTCTTTTGGTATGACGCGGCCGGGGATCCAACCCCGGACCTTCCGCTCTCCGGGCGGACGCTCTACCACAAGAACACGGAGGCGGTGTGCCTGAATGGGGTATCCATGTTTAACTGAACATAATTTCGGACCAGTACAAACACACACACGCGTTTCACCTCACCTCATCTGACGTTCAATGTACATTGAACATTTCATCTGAAACCAAGATGATACAATTGCGTTTGTCATAAAAATGAGCGTGTTATACCTACATGAGAATGCTACAGGGGATTTCTCATCTCTCGCTGCTGACTTCTCCTGACTCGACATGTTGTATATATTCACACGTCATGTACATGCAAGTGTATATATTGATCTGATCACTTCGAGTCCCCCAGCTGAGAACAAACAAACCCTGCCTGCATCTCACCATCTCTAGATACAAAGGAGTTTTTCTTAAGTGTAACACGACCCATATAAAATAACGGCGTCATTCCAGTGACTCAGCATTTTAATTTATCTTATCAGCCGTTCGTTTAACGCACAAGAGAAAAAATAAAACAGACCGCAAAAGAAAGTATACACCCATGTTTGATGGTGTCTCAAAATGTAAACAATTGTGTGCTATCTTTTGCCCAGCAGTTTGATTTAACGGTGATCGAGAAATTCTGGATTCAATGGCATGGTGTGACTTCTTGTCTACAGAGCTTAACACTACCTGCATTAAGTGAAACTTGTTAATCCGGACCCCACTAATCCAGAAATGTCCCTTCCCGGATAAATATTGTTGGCAACATGTACTCTCCTAAACAAGTTGAGGGTCATTTAAATATATATGATAATGATCAGTCGCCAGAACAAAGTTCAGCTTTGAAATATGACTGCCAAAGATGGAACGGTTTCAGAACCAAAACCTAACGCTCCAACACCCCCGAAACATTGCACATGGAACATGAAATACCATGTGGGTTTGGGCGTCATGTTTTATCCACAGTAACATGTGAACTCTCCACTCTTGCTGTAATGCAGTATTTGTGATAAGATGGGGCATGTGTCGTCAACAATGTGATGAACGTCTAAGGGCTGTTGGCAGAGGCGATTGAAAGGGGTAGCCAGTATGTTCAATGTGTCTCAGTCTGCAACTTGCAGATTTCTGCAGACACAAAATGTTAATGATTGGCCCCGCACATGGTGCCAAAGGTCACACATCACACTTTCAGGATCACTCAATCAGAATCCAGACTTTAGGAAATCGAATTCCAAACAGCCAATTAAATCGCTGTTTATTGCTCCAGGCCACCAGAGTTCAAGTTATCGAGAAATCGTCTGCATGCATGTAGTTAATCTGCATGTTCGGCTACAATGTGTACACTGTTAACATGTGAACAATGGAACGTGGAGACTGGGGCGGGTAGCCTAGGGTCGCGTTCGATGTTTACGTTGGAGTTTACTATTGCTTCTGGAATTTCTGGACAAGTATGGATGTGCCCGGGGGTGTTCTGACGAACGTCATGCGCGTATTGTAGCTGACTACCTCCAGCCTGAATATGTTTTTTTAAGAAAAAGCCAAATATATGTCTAATCACTCTGTACCTACAACTACTAATACATTGATATATGACTAATCACTCTGTACATCTATGTACTAATATAGTATTATGTGTCAAATCACTCTGTTCGTCCATGTACTAATATAATATTCTGTGTCTAATCACTCTGTACGTCCATGTACTAATATAGTATTATGTGTCTAATCACTCTGTTCGTCTATGTACTAATATAATATTATGTGTCTAATCACTCTGTTCCTCCATGTACTAATATAGTATTATGTGTCTAATCACTCTGTTCGTCTATGTACTAATATAATATTATGTGTCCAATCACTCTGTTTGTCTATGTACTATTATAATATTATGTGTCCAATCACTCTGTTCGTCCATGTACTATTATAATATTATGTGTCCAATCACTCTGTTCGTCCATGTACTATTATACTATTATGTGTCCAATCACTCTGTTCGTCCATGTACTATTATAATATTATGTGTCCGATCACTCTGTTCGTCCATGTACTATTATAATATTATGTGTCCGATCACTCTGTTCGTCCATGTATTATTATAATATTTTATGTGTCCATCACTCTGTTCGTCCATGTATTATTATAATATTATATGTGTCCATCACTCTGTTCGTCCATGTACTATTATAATATTATATGTGTCCATCACTCTGTTCGTCCATGTACTATTATAATATTATATGTGTCCATCACTCTGTTCGTCCATGTACTAATATAGTATTATATGTGTCAAATCACTCTGTTCGTCCATGTACTAATATAGTATCATGGGTCAAGTCACTCTGTTGGTCCATGTACTAATATAATATTATATGTGTCTAATCACTCTGTTCGTCCATGTACTAATATAGTATCATGGGTCTAGTCACTCTGTTGGTCCATGTACTAATATGATATTATGTGTCCAATCACTCTGTTCGTCCATGTACTATTATAATATTATGTGTCCAATCACTCTGTTCGTCCATGTACTATTATAATATTATGTGTCTAATGACTGTTCGTCCATGTTCTATTATAATATTATGTGTCCAATCACTTTGTTCGTCCATGTACTATTATAATATTATGTGTCTAATGACTCTGTTCGCCTATTGCCGATGCAGTGTGTACGTGAAGGAATTTAATTTTATTTGTCTGCCAGTTCGTTTCCGGTTCAACAATTATATGCACCCGAATCTTTTCTTTTTTTTAATGTAACCACGTGTTGCCCGTGTGTTGACATCGTGCTGTGCAATGCCTTGCCTTGCATTTGTCTATGGCGATGAAATAACAAACTGCCAGTAAATTGTCTTGAATGACTCCCGGGGACTTCTTCGTCTTTCCATGGCCCCGCGAGCAGGATGTGTAAGTATTTTGCCTAATTATGAACTTTGACAGTAATGACAATGATATGCCAGGTGAAACACGACCTGTCCGGTTTTCGTCCAGGCGCAGAGGACCACCTGCCTATTTGTCATATCATGTAGTTAAAATGAATCATGAACTTGATGAAAAAATGACCACATGATCAGAAATAAGTTCGTCCGTTTTGTCTAGATTAAGTGATCGAGAGATTGCTGTTCACAATACTTCACATAAGCATATTGAGGATGAAGCATCTGAAACATGAGTTAGAGAGATTGGAGAGGAGTATCAAGAAAGAGAAGAAAAGTAGTATGTCACAAGTTGCTAAAGAAAGAAACAAAACCCTCTTGGTGCCAAGGGACCATACGTGGTTCCTCACTCTTCACAGTCACACCCTCTTAATGTCCCTTAATCAGTGTTAATGTCCATTTTCAACTGTTAATTAAGATGTCAAACACTGAGTGTGCACAATCAAAATTATAACGATCATCACCCTAATCATCTCAACTTTAACATCGTGTAACTCATATTTTATGCAGTGCTGTGGGTTCCGAAATATGGCAATATTTGTAAAGTGGTTACCACACTTCTCGACCTTTTTCTGCCATGTTGAACTTCGTGTGAATAATGGCAATTCTTTTAATTATGCACCCATGTCACATACACGTAACTATTATCATATCAGACAGCCAATTTGAAAAAGACATCTATCAGACTGGCCAGAAAGATTTACTGTTCTCCACTGTACAGTTATTGGTGTGAAACAACCAAGTTTAGTCCTCAATGGAAGTCTTTGTTCATATCTCGTGAAGTTGGCGGGGGATATAGAAACAGGCTCCATCTGTCCGTCAGTCACATTTCTTTTCCGGAGCATAACTGTCAGTATTATTTCATGAAACTTTGCAGGTCTGTCGGGTACATGCTGAACTGGTGCCTTTTGCTATTTAGAAATTTTAGAAATTTCTATTTATTACGTTTCCATGGCAACAAGATGGACTTGGGTTCTGTGAGGGTAGGGTTCGTTTCCGGAGCATAACTCATAAACCGTTCAATATTTTTTCATGATACTTTGCAGGTCTGTCAGGTACATGCTCAACTGGTGCCTTTTACTATTAATTCTTTTTGGAAATTAATATTTTTTTATTTTTCCATGGCAACAAGTTGAACTTTTAGAAATATATGAATTCTTCTTTAAAATGGCAAAACTTTCAACTTGATACCCATTTAACCTGTTTAAGGAATCTTATAAGTCACAATAAAGTTTTTGGCGTGCCTACATTTTGTGTTTTGTCATCATTTGGAGGTATCTCCCATGGTAGGGGAAACTGTGCATGCCTTCTACCAAGTTGTCAGTATGTGCCTCAATAATGGTGGAGGGTAACTTACGTTTATTGACTTCATAATCAAATCCATCATCCCTACCTCTGCATTGATTTTACAGAGATGAGTATGCGATAAGATGGTATACTTCTGCATTGATTTTACAGAGATGAGTATGCGATAAGATGGTATACTTCTGCATTGATTTTACAGAGATGAGTATGCGATAAGATGGTATACTTCTGCATTGATTTTACAGAGATGAGTATGCGATAAGATGGTATACTTCTGCATTGATTTTACAGAGATGAGTATGCGATAAGATGGTATACTTCTGCATTGATTTTACAGAGATGAGTATGCGATAAGATGGTATACTTCTGTATGAAACTTTTTACAGTTTTCAGCACATGTTGATATGAAGGCTTTTGTGCTGTAGAGTTTTCACATTCACATTTATAATATTGTCTTGTTTGTATTTTCACTTTATAATATAACATGGTACGACCTTATTGTTAAAAAGCCACAACATAAAATGTGTGTGGCACTCGTGGCACCCTACTTCCTCGCAGTGAGTGCCGGTAACATGACTTGTAATGTTTTTTCTTTCTCCCACCCTAATGAATTCAGTTGTAAATGTGGTAACTGGTTTTGTCAGTTTGTACTTCCATCATGTTTTTGTGGAGAAGGTTTTTTTCTTGAACATCATAGAAACTGTGTTTTGCGGCATTTTATTTTGTTTCTTTAGGATATTTTGCATTATCATCAAGTAGATGCTCCCTTGCTGCCTTTTACTCCTTACCAAATTTTGAATATTTTCAAATGTATGTGTTTGTGTGATCAAATTTCACTATTGTTGACATAATATACACTTCATTTGCCGGGCAGGAAACTTCACGTTAGTGGCAAACTCTTTTAACAATTTCCATGACAACAAGTTCCACCTCCTTTAAAAAAAGGTTAGGGTTTGTTTTGATTTAATTATGGCATAATTCTGCAACAGGGGCACATTGGTGGCAAACTCTTGTTGACTGTGTGTCATGGCGATTTAGCATGGTGCGAGATACGAAACGACAGTGCAGATTGTCTTTCTGTTTATGATGTTGATTTACAGAAAATAATCAAATCTAATATATGGAAAGATAGCTATGATCGTTAGTATTAAGGTAGTGTAGTGTAT